TATCGTATTCGACTGCGACGACAACGAGCCACTTTCGTCCAATTTGGAACGATTTACCCACCAACTCCAATTCGTTCGGGAGAAGGGTGATATTTTGACTGCTCGCTCTCTTATCTCGAGACGTGTCGTATATCGCAGATATTGGGGGGATTTTGTTGGTGGGCGAATTTGTGAGACTTTCCTCAAATGAAGATGGATCTGGCAGGCGAGGTGTTATCGGCCGTCCTGTGATGTAGGCCTTCAGCCTTGTCACGTGGACTTGGACGGGTTTACGCGCCGTGCCGTCTGCCCATTCAATTTGGTAAGTATAGTCTCCAAGTCGCTTTCTAATTCGGTAGGGGCCTGTCCAGGGCTTTATTAGCTTGTAGAACACCCCCTTCTTGCGGTAAGGGCAATACAGCCAAACTTTTTGACCGTTTTCGAAATGTTGTTTGCGGCCTGGTTTCTTGGCCCGCCGTGCTTGACTCTCTTTTTGTTGGCTTTTTCTTGCCGCTAGGGCGTGCGCTATCCTCAAGCGATGAACTAGTTGCTGCCCGTACTCGTTCGACGATCCATAGGTGAGTTGTGGATTGTCGAAAAGCACGTCTGCCGGCAACAAAGGGTCCCGTGTCCAATTCCAATCTGGCGCATACTGGTCTGGGTTTTGGTTGTGCACGTTGTCAGGATTGGCAGTTACGGCATCCAAAATTGCCATTAAAAAAACGTGTCTTCCTCTGGCGGATTCCAGGGCGTTCGTGATAACACATCGGCGTTCACGTTTACCGTTCCTTCCCGATAGGCTACTGTATAATCGTATTCTTGAAGTTTATTACTCCATCGATACAATTGTCCTGTCGAATCCTTTGCGCGGGTCAGGAATTCTAGCGCCTTGTGGTCAGTTACTATCTTGACATGCCGTCCGTAGATGTACGGGCGAAATTTCTTCACCGCCCACACGATTGCCAACGCCTCGAGATGGGTCGGGCTGTATCGTCTCTCCGAACGACTCAGCGACCGACTTGCATAGCAAATGACGCGGCTGACCCCTTTGTCATCCTCTTCTTCTAGGATAGTCCTTCAGAAATAGTTCTTCGAGGAGGCAACTAGAGTTGGCCAGGACGGCCTACTGGTTAGATTCGAGACTACGGATTATCGATGGAAACCCATAGAGGAGGTACGGACGAACCAGAAACGGTGGATTATATCACACTGGCTCTCACCTCCGCACTGGGAGCAGGCGGATTCAACAAGAAGAGGAAGCGGCCATCACCAACTTCAGAAGATTATCAGGAAAGAAACTGCGGCAGCTATCTGGAATGTACAGGCAGACTCATGCTCTTCTCTACGACTGCAAGCAAGACAACGGACGAGCGAAGAGTAACGTACGGACATCTTCAGCAGGGGAAATGCAGTGACACCGTAATCGAGACTATATTCTGCCGCCAGCATAAACCCTAGCTGCCACGATCAGGGGTCTTCATCGTGGTAAAAGAAGCGATAACAGACTCGACGCAACCAGGACGACAAGTTTCTCGATAATTTAATCCAGTACGGAGCTAAGCTGTCCGAGAAGGCGGGTCGAGTAATTTTGAACCGTAAGGAACCCCGAAGAGCGGTGAAAAGGGAGCGACAAGTGCCTCACGGACTGGCGGGTCAGGTCGGAGAAATCGGAAGGCAAGGACAGCAGAGTGAGGGTTCCACCCTCACATTCAGGGACTAACCCCGATCGCTGCATATCGATTTACATTGGCAAAGGACGTTGACTTGCTTTCGTTGGCAAGCCAAAGATTATTTGGTGAGGGGATGTGTTCATCATCCTCAAGTGTTCACTGGAGTGGGAACCCCAATGGATCACCGAAGGATCCTGACGAAGAATGTAGATAGCGTATCAGGAAGACTGCCCAAACGGGCCACCGCTTTCCCGGCCAACCCATGAGGGCGCTGCGGTGGGCCAGATTGAGAAGAGAGCAGAATACCAAATGCACACTTACAGGATACCAAGGGGGCAACCGAGCACGAAGCCATTCTTCAGAGTGCAAGAAAAGATGAAGTCACGAATAAGGGAGAATTACATGTGCATGTCAAGCAAAAAGAGGGTAATTATAACACCGCGTGGGGTAGCTGTTCGCGCTATGCCAGCCGCGCTGATGCCGGGCGTGCCGAGGGGGGTTAAGAGACCGGCCCCGGCCGGACCGAAGATGGTCATGGGACCTTGGTGGTACCCACTTTGGAAAATCGATTCGGCGGAGGCAATCGCTAACGTAAGTCCGGACGAAGACCTTTTCCCGACAGTAAGAAATAAGACTTCTCAGAGAGGATAGAAAATTGCTGAGCGAGAACGTCGTCTGAAAGAGAAAGGACAACGGGTAAGGAAAAATTGCCGTTGGCACGCCATTCCACAGCGAATGAATCACTTTGGATTATTGGGCAACCAGAAACACCACAAAAAGTTTTTCTTACGACTCCAGACTTTTCAAGAAAAGGCGGGAGACCTCCGAAGTCAAGGAACAACCCACATTGTCCAACGAGGTAAAAGCAACAATGGATCATGGAGAGCAGAACAAGCAGAAGCGCTCATTGAGACGACCATTCACAGATATCAAGGAGCTAATTTAAATTCTGGCGAGTTCATCGAGTCGATTCAACCCTACAATCAATTGGGGGCAAGGAAACCTCCCTTTACTAGGCCTCTCGATCAAGTAATAGAATCTATCAACTCATCATCAACCGGAGAAAAACTTTCAGAAACAAGGGGAAATCTTGAATAGGAGCACTAATAAGGAAGATTATATCGAATTTAGGGTATTAGACACGGCGTGAATGGGCCGACATTTTGAAGTCCCGGACGCCGGCGCTGAAAGCCGATGACGGCTTACGGTCAGGGTAGGGGGATTTTTTAAAATGTCGTGCCGGGCTATAAGTGAGTGATGGATGTTTCTCGATGTGTAGACAGAATAGCGCACTTCGGGTATGTGCCAGGCCGAGCCGAGCCGATGTACGACCCGGCGGGATGCCACCCAGGGGAGTATAGACTTTCCCTCGGAGAAGGTGTTGTCATGGTTTTACCTATGTGGTATTTCTCTGTACGTTTTTTCTCCCTGTGGATACCGTCAACTTAGGGACCTTTACTCATAGCTAAGGGACGGATGGCACAAGAGCGTGGGACTCAGGCCAATCGTACTGTGTGACCTGGATCTGTTTGCTACACGCGCACACTGGAAAGGAAACATGCACGGAGGGACATTCTGCAAGGCTCGTCTATTTTAATCCCTGAGCTCATAATATGAGTTCACCAGTATATGATGCATTACTTCCCAGCGGTCCTTTCCCTCACCATCGTAAAGCTCGACGGTTTTTACCTTCCTTTAAAAACGGTCGGGTAGCCCCCTCAGAGCAAGTCACTGGCAGCAGCTAGCTATCCGAAGACGAGGGGAACCCTTGGGGAAGTTGTGTGCACCCCGAGTGAAGTCATGTAAGAGTACAGAGATCGACGGATAAGAACTATGCAGATGCCTCTTTCGTTATGATTTTTCTTTCCCAGGGCGCGCGTACGCACCGACGAAGAGAACAGGTCACGCAGACCGTATGGCAGGAGTCCTACCCTCTCGAGCCACAACTCCCAATGCTATAATGCAGAGCACCTCGTAGACTGACGCTACCCACAGGGAGAAGAAAGGTGAAGAAACTAGCCCTGGAAGTAAAACTATGGCAACACCTCCTTCCCCGAGAGAAAGTCTATACCCCCCGGCAGGGCCTTTAAACCTACTAGGGCTCATTTATGAGGGTTATCAATTATTGATGAGATTTCATTCATGAACGACGATTGAGCTAGTAGGGATGACATGAAAAAATATGTGGGCTTCCGATTTGTGATCGGCAATTGCGCTTTTGACACTCCAAAATGCGTTCTGGCCTGGGGCTTCGCCCCAAAGCCCGCGAGGGGCACCCGTAGTCCCCTCCCCTTGCCATGGTCCCTTTTTCGAACCCACTTAGTTTGGACAGGCCTGCACCTGTCGAGCGGACGCAGTCTTGTGCATGAATCATGACAGATCATCAAATCATTTGCCATCCCTCAGGAATGACCGAATATAAGCAGCGGTGACGGCCCTGCCCCCGCGGTCATCTCACAAGGGTGGTACTCGGCTCGGCTCGGCCTAGCTTCTACCCGAAGTGCTCCATCATCTGCATCAAGAAACATCACTATTCACTCTCTTCACGCCCGATTTAAAACATTTTCTTCCCGGGTAACTCCAGCGTGCAGTGTTCAAATGCGGCATAGTTCCAAAAGCCACTAAATTATCATCAAATCTCAAGTAAACAACATTTGTATTGTCCGCACACCTGCAAGCGTCATCAAAGGCGCTCATACGCGCTACTAGGGAAAATAACTGTGGTCGACGCACCTTGAAAGATCAAGCTAAAATCAGTTGAAAAGATGTAGGATGCTTAAACCCTGCTTTTTTTCCCCTTCTTGAGGTGCCATGGAAATCAAATTGAAGGGATATAAGTGGCATTTGCATTACTCCATGAAAGGTCTTCAAGTGGACCACTTCCTGTATCTGCCCTTTAGTACAAGGAGAAGTAAAACTCATCAAGTCTGTTGCCTCACCTCAATGTCATACAGGAGTCGTGCACCACGCCGGACGAATAGAGTGAACATTCAACATAAGTGCACAAATTTGATCATTTCATGGATGCCTTCCCATCGTGGAAAATGACAGGACATGGCATGCAATAGCACACGCATAAGGTCAAGAGGCAGCCTGAGTATATTCATTCGTATGATGGAAACACACACACCCGTAAGCCGTCAAGGTTGACAACTCTCCACCTTTCTCGGGAAGTTTACCTCGGTAAGCATAAAGAAAGAGGTCATTTTCCTCCACATCCAACTGTCGTTAAGAATTGCCTATGTCTTGTTCGTCGTCGGACTCAACGTGCTGCCGTCCATCCCGGTCCACTGGGTCTCTGTCAAAACCGCACGCCGACTCTCCCCTCCCCTCCGCCCATCCGCACGGCTCCTCTCCCACTCGACTTTCGAGAACATTCCACCGCCGTCCTTTACCCGCTGACTCTTGTGTCGCCTTGTCCGGTCGTGAAGGCCGCGCTCTCTTCAACGAGGCACTCGGCGCGGGGGACATGGAATGTTTCCTGCCGTTGATCGAGCATTTCCACACGCAATCCGACCCCGCATTCTGCGGCCTGGGTGCTTTGACCATGGTCCTGAACGCGCTTCAGATCGATCCGGGGAGAACGTGGAAGGGTCCGTGGCGGTGGTTCGACGAGTCGCTCCTGGACTGCTGCGCCCCCCTGGACGTGGTGCGCGCGGAGGGCATCACTCTGGCCAACGCGCACTGTCTAGCCCAGTGCAATGGAGCCACATCCCGGCTCCAGTACGGAGACAGGGTCTCGCTGCAGGCATTCCGCGAGGATGTCCGCCGAGTCACGTCGGCCTCCCCCGCCCCCCCGTCCTTCTCCCCGCCCGGGACGAGCGGTGCTACAGCCAAGCGGGGGGAGCTGGTAGTAGGCGGGAAGGAAGTAGCCAAAGGGCACAGCGAGGGGGGGGGGGGCTTCGGGGGGGAG